TCTTGACTTTATTTTATAGTTTCTTAATGCCTCATGGAACCATTGGCTTCTACTTAACATATTCTAATTTTCAAGGAATTATTTTCTTCAGTGAAGCCAGAACTTCAAGGAAGCCAGGAAAGCCTGGAGGTAGAGATGATTATGAAGAGAATTCCAAGCATGGGGGACAATCTTTGAAAATGCCCAGAGTTTGTACTCCTTTTTCCATTTGGCCAATTTTTCTTTTTAAGTAGTTATTTTCTTCAGTATTTTTGGTGCCTCTTTTACAAGCTGTTAATTCTCTTTTCATAATTTTCTTGCATTGCTCTAATTTCTTTTCCCAATTTTTCCTCTACTTTTCTCTTTTGATTTTAAAAATAATTTTTTGGGGCTATTTTTAAAAAACTCTTTAGTGCTTCTAGGAATTCTTGTTGGGCTTGTGTCCAATCTGCATTTTCCTAGAGACTTCGCTTGTGGATTTTTTCACGTTATTGAATTCTTCTAAGTTTGTGTCTTGAGCTTCCCTGTCATCATAATAGCTTTTGATGGTCAGGTTTGGTTTTTGTTTGTTTGATCATTTTTCAAGCCTATTTCTTTATGTCAGAGTTGGATCTGTTCACCCATGGGGGAGGAGAGATGGCACTGTCTAGGGCTTCAGGGTGTTTTTGCCCTGCTGTTTTGAAAGCTACTTTTGGGGGTCTGTACCTTTTCTGTGCTTCAAAGGTGGTGATTTCTGGGGAGAGGAGCAGTCATTGCTTTCCTGGTCTGTATTCTGGTCCTTACCCAGAAGGGCCCCTGCTCCTATTCAACCACAAGCAGTAGCATTCCTCTTTTCACTCTACAACTTCTACCAAGACTTAGGGCCCCTGATCTCTTTCTGTCTTAGAACTGTAATCAGGGCCCCTATTCCCTTGTGACTACAAGCACTCCTCTCCACCCTGGAACTATGTCCCAGAACTGGGTAAAAGGCAATGGCATTGCCAAGCAGCACTCATTGCTGAGCCCGGTAACCACAAAGGGTTTTCTCAAAATGTCTTTCTGACCAGTTATACGATCCCTTTTTTGTTTCTGGTCAGTAAAAGCTTCTGTCTCTGGATGGGTGAGAATTCCTGAAACTGCTGTTGCTGCTGCTGCTATTGTCCCTGCCCACAGCCTCTAAGGTCCACCTCTGGTAATGGTGATATGCTTAGGGGCAGTCCCCCACCCCAGTGTCACAGACGTCATCTTTCAACCTCCTAAGTTGTCTTGGACTGGAAAAATAACTCACCCTGACCTTTTGTTGGCTATGTTGCTCCATAATCCTGCTTGATGCATTATTTTAAAGCTGTTTGGAGAGGAATGTTGGGAAAGTTCAGCTGGAATGCTCCTTCTCCTCCACCATCTTGGCTCTACTTTACCCCACAACTTCGAAAAAATATATAATGTGTGTGTGGGCAGCTAGGTGGTACAGTGGATAGAGCACTGGCCCTGGATTCAGAAGGACTTGAGTTCAAATCCGACCTCAGACACATAACACTTACTAGCTGTGTGAACCTAGGCAAGTGACTTAAAACCCCATTGCCTAGCCAAAATATATATAATGTGTAGCAAATGTCCTGGGCTGGAGAGGCTAATTTTCAGAGGGTGGAGAGGTGATCCATCTCCCCTGTCTGTTCCCCAACATTTAGTAGCAAATGCTTTCTAAAGAAATGATTAATCTATTTTTTAAATTACTGTACTTTTTCCCTTTAATTTTATATTTTATCTTTATTTTAAACTCTCTCCTCCCTTCCTGTTCCCCCATTTCTTCCATTGAGAATGCTAGAACAATAAAATTCATTATAAATATGTATAATCATGCAAAATAAATTTCCACATTGGCTATGTTTTCTCCCTCCCTATCCCCCACCCCAAAAAAAGGAAGGAAAAAGAAAGAAGAGTAATTATGCTTCAATCAGTCCATCAGTTCTCTCTTAGGAGGTGAAGAACATGTTTGAGAGAATTATTCTAGAGGTATCCATCACTAACCTGATGTCAATCAATCAGTCAACAAGCATTTCTTAGGTGCCTGCTGTGTGCCAGTCACCATGCCAAATGCTGAGGACACAAATGAAGACAAAGAACAGTCCCTGCCCTCAAGGAGCTCACAGACTAAGGGGAAAAGATGTACAAATAATGACATAAGAGCAAAATATAGACAGGATTATCAGCAGAGGGAAATCACTAGCATTAAGAGGGGAAGGGGTTGTGAAAGGCTTTTTACATACAATAGGATTTTAGCTGGGACCTCAAGGAAGCCAGGGAAGCCAGGAGGTGGATGGAGATGAAGTTGGAGAGAACTCCAGACATGAGGGGCAGCCAATGAAAATGCCCAGTGTTGGTAGATAGAATTGTTGAGGTCAGAATTGGGATTGCAGCTCAGGGGTGAAAGAATTCACTTAGACCTTCTCTATAGCCATTGGTGATAAGTTCAGGGTGGACCCCAAGAATGTTGGGGTGCTACCTGAAATGATGAGGAATAGAAATGCAAATTCTAGTGTCCTGAAAGAATTCACTCAAACAGTCTCCAAGTTAAAGAAAGGCATTTACTGGGGTGATTTACCCAAGCGGGCCAGCTCGCCATAAGGCAGAGCCCCAATGGTCTCTACTCCATATGAGAGGCATATCATAGGCCGGAGGCCCTGCTGCCCTAAGGGAGCAGAGTGACCCCTGCTTCCTGTAGGCAGCAAAGGCAATTAGCTAGGTCAAAGGCACGGTTCAAATACAATTTTATGGAATAGGGGGAAGGGGACAAGAACATGGGAGGTACAAACATGGCTCCAAAATGCCTGAGATATCAGGTAGTCCAGAGGTGATAAGCAAAGAGAACAGGAAAAGGGAGGGGAAGAGTTGCTGTGGAATTGAAGGTGCTTTGTGAAAACACACAGATAAGTCTTTGGCAGGGGCCTCCAATGCATGGTCTTCTTTGATCACTTTTCTGGCTGTTCACATCCTGCACGTTATCTCCTGTCTCATGTCCTGCTTGCTCCATCTGTCTCAAGCACTCTTTTCTACCTCATGAGAATGTCCAAGGAACAGCTGGGAGACCAGTGAGTGGTGGAAGAGTATGTGGAGGTGAGAAAGGTGTAAGAAGACTGGAGAGGTATGAGAGGGCCAGGTCAGGAAGATCTGTAAAAGAGAAACAGAGATTTTAATTTGATCCTTGAGGTAACAGGTAACTACTGGAGTTTATTAAATGGGGTAGTGCAGTGACATGGTCAGATCTGTACCTTAGGAAGATCAAATTGGACTTCATAAGCTGAGTGGAGCTCATTCTTTGTCTAGGAGAGCATAAATTTACTTTTTCTTTTCTGTGTTGGAGAAGCTAGAAAAATATGTAACAATAACATCTCTTTTCTGACTAGCTTTGATATTCTAGCTGGGAAAATCTCTACTGATTAGAAAGAAAATCTTTTTCTCTGTATTTGTGTGTATTTATGTTTGTTCCTATACAATTTGTACAATCATAGCCTCCTGCATATAGATCAGTGATGAAGAGGTTAAGCACGTTGTTATTTTAATGCTAGTTCTTAAAGACTGGATGAACAGAAACATGAAATATACTTTAAAGAAACAGAGACCAGCTTTGGAACCACTACATAGCCTTCCAAGGTAGGAGAGTGGGGAATGGAATCACCATGCTGGATATGCCCCTTTGGCACATTCAGAAAACCAGGATCTGACTAGACAAAAATCTTTGCCTCAGAGTCAGGTGATGGTCTCAACATTGCAGTTCTGATGCTGAGTCTACATGAATTGCTTCTGATGATCTTGATTATTTTCTTGTCTCTACTAGGTTTTAAACAAGGCTATTGCCTGGGCATCTCCCACCTTCCCCCCTTCTCTCTCTCTCTCTCTCTCTCTCTCTCTCTCTCTCTCTCTCTCTCTCTCTCTCTCTCTCTCTCACACACACACACACACACACACACACACATTTGGCAAAGGTTCCTTTTCTGTCTCTGATTTCATTCCTGGCAGAGGAAGCCAAGGGTGTGGAAGATGTGGGCAGGGCTTGGGCATGTGGGACAGTGGTGTATGGTAGCCTTGGCCCATTGCCTCTTGGCCAATCATCCTCTGTCTTCTCACGCCATCTTTTGATAAAGTGATGGCCTAGGGACAAAGTGGCACCATCAATGATTTGACTCACCCATGAGGCTCTGGCAGTTGCAACAGCTTGGACATAGGGACTTCAGCTTCTGCTTTTCCACTTCCCTCACTATTTGATAGAGTTAATAGGAGGTACTGAGTTCTCTGGAAGCTCAAATATTTTTCAGTCTTAGAGGCTCTGGGATTACTCCACCCACTCTCACCCTCAATGGGAGTCAGGTCCCCAGAACTTGACTTCTTCTTTCAAGAGGGGTCACTGGGGTGTGTATGGGGGTGTGTGTCTCTTCTCTGATGTTATCAGCCACAAGTCCCCATCAAATACCTCCCTCAATATCAATCAGCCAGTAACTATCTCTTGAATATCATCTAACCAGTGATTAGTACCCCAATAACAATTCATCCATTGATTTATGAATGAATGAAGGACAAATCATATGGAAAGTACCTATTAAAAGCACTGTGCTAAGTGCTGGGAATACCAGCAGAAAAGTGGAGGTAGTCTTTCATTGGTGAAGTTCACGTTCTAATGGGAAGAGACGACATATCTCGTATTGGAAATTTCATTTTCAAATCATATAGAAATGTCTCCTGGTCATTTGGGAACAGTGATAAAACAGATGACAATGCATCTTACTGTCATTTCTATTGGTGCCATCATATATCAGTTTTTGACATTGAACCATAAGGCAGGGCCTTTGGGCTTTGATGGTTGAGAATTTTCTTTCTGAGTCTCTGTAGTTTTGGCTACAGTGCCTGCAGAAGCAGTTGCCAGGCTGTATCTGATGGAAGTTACTAGGCACTGGGCTGAAAGCAGGAAGGGTGGCTTAGGGTCACTCCTGGCAGTCGGTCAGTGATTGGTGTTGGTGGCAACAGAGAAGGTAAGCTGTGTCTCCACGGTAATCCTTCACTGTATTTCAAGAGGATTGTTTTCCTTTGTAATCCTATGATTTTATGTTGTGCATTTAAAGTCCTGATTCGGAGAAGGGGTCCCTAGGCTTCCCCATACTACTGCCACAAAAAAAAAAAAAAGATTAAGAGCGCCCAGACTAGAACTCTAAGCTTCTTCCTAGCTGTGACACTCTGTGATAGTGGAGGAAGGAAAAGAAAGTGAAAGCAAGCCGAGTTGAGCTACAGAGGGAGGGAGCCGGCCGGCGGCCAAAGTTTCGTTTTCTCTGGGAGGACCATGGCTGGCCTCGGGTTGGCCTTTCCAGCCTCTGGTGTTCTGGTCTGGCTGTGCGAGGACGACCTGAGCTGCGGAATCTGCCAGAGCCTCTTCTCCTGCCCCACCACTTTGCCTTGCGGCCACAGCTTCTGCAGCTACTGCATCGAGCGCCACTGGTCACTCCTGGGCCGGTCCCGGGGAGGCGCGGCCAGGGATGGTGGCCCCAGAGCCTTGGGGACCCAGGGGACAGGCTGGCTTTGTCCCCTCTGCCGGAAGGAGGTCTTTATGAGCCCCTGGCTGAAAAAAAACACTGCCCTTCAGGACCTGGTGGACAAGTACGACAAAGCCCTGAAGGAGGGGTCCGAGCCCTGGAATCCCTGCCCAAATCACCTGCCAGCGCTACAGGTAGGGTCTCCTAGCTGCGTTCCTGGCCAGATTCTCTAGTTCATCTTCCCACCTTCTCCCTCTGCCTCACCCCAAACCCTCCCATAAGGTCCAGTCTCTCCTCCTCGTCACATTTGTTGTCTCCTTACATCATTTCTGTAAGCTTTTCTATAGTGCCTCAGTGGATAGCGTCCCGGACTTGGCGTCAACAAGACCTCACTTCGAGTCTGGTCTCAGACACTTACGAGCTGTGTGACGCTACTTATTCTCTGTCTTCCTCAGTTTCCTCATCTATAAAATGGGGATATTGATAACACCTACCCTCACAGGGTTGTTGTAAGGATCAAATAAAATATTTGTAAAGCGCTTTAAAAACCTTAAATCTCCCTATAAATGCTATCTATTACATTAGCCTTATATTGCATAGGTTTACTGAGAAGCTAAATGATTTGCCCAGGGTCACATAGCTAGCCCCTTAACCACTGTGCCACGCTACTGTAATAAATAATTGGTGTTTAATAAATGTTGACTAAATGATCATTCACTTCTTTCTTCTACTTGCACTTTCCTTTCTTTCCACCCATCCAACCAATACCCTACCTTCCTGCCCCTCACCCCCATTTGTCATCTGACTGCCCTTTCCCCAAAGAGACTGAATGGGAATTTCTCTTGGCTTGTTCTCATTGCCCCCTTCCCCCTTGAATTACCAAGAAGCTGTGATGAGGCCACCACCTGGAGTGATGCCTTGCTAGATCTTCAATCTAATCAGTGTATAACAGAGACCTGGCTTGATGTTTTGACTTTTCCCTTTTAAAGGAACCAAAACCCATGAAAAGGAGAATCAATGAAGTCCGTCAGGAACTGGAGGACCTGTTAGAACAGTTCGTTTCTGGAGTGACCAAACTTCAATGTTTGGGACCCCTTGAGGAGACAGGGATGTCAGAGGCTTCGATCACCCAGGAGAAGGTAAACTAGGGTGGGTAGGATGGAAGAGTTGGGGAGGGAAGAGAACTGTTGCAGTAGATTATGTAAACTCCTTGAGGGCAGGACTTTTTCTTTTTGTCTCTATCCTTGGTGTCTTGCTCTTGACAGGTGCTTAAGAATAGTTGTTGACCTTTAACCCAGCAATACCACTACTAGGTCTGTAGCCCAAAGTGCTTTAAAAAAAAAAAAGGAAAAAACCTATATGTACAAAAATATTTATATCAGCTCTTTTTGTGGTGGCAAAGAATTGGGAATTGAGGGGATGCCCATCAATTGGGGAATGGCTGAAAAAGTTGTGGTATGTGATTACGATGGAATATTATTATGCTATAAGAAATGATCAGCAGGATGCTTTCAGAAAAACCTGGAAAGACTTGTGTGTAAAGTGAGCAGAAGCAGGAGAACATTGTACACAGTAACAGCAACACTGTGCAATGATCAACTGAGAATGCTTTAGATATTTTCAGCAATACAATGATCCAAGACAATTCCAAAGATCTCATAATGAAAGACTTGATGGAATCTGAATGCAAATCAAAGCATACTTTATTTTGGGAAAAAAAACCAGTTTAATTTTCTAATTTTTTTTCGGTGTTTTCTTTCACAACATGGCTAAAATGAAAATATGTTTTGCGTGACTGTACATGTACAATCTATACCAAATTGCTTGCCCTCTCAAGAAGGGAGAAGGGTGGGAAGAAGAGAATTTGGAACTCAAAATTTTAAAAAACAAATGTTAAAAATTGTTTTTACATGTAAAATTGAAAAATATAATATAAAAATTGAAAATGAAAAAAAAAAAGGTTATTGAACTGAAAGGACAGCTTCTAGATAGAGCCTAAGACCAAGTTGAATGAACAGTGAACCATGTTGGTGCCATACTAAAAACTGAAGTCCTCCCAGGCTTTGCCCAGGCTGCCCCCAAGCCTGGCATACTCCCCTTCCAAACCTTCCCTAGAAACCCTAGCTCGATTCACAGGTGCCACCTGGTAAGTGAGGACTTTTCCAGCTGTTATCTTAACAGGGCTTTTCCGTATTGAAATTACTTTGTATTATTTTACATAAGCTTTGTATTTACCCATGTAGATCCGCTGTACATCTTCAGCAGAATGTAAGGTCTTTGAAGGCAAGGATTTTGTTTCCGGTTTTTCTTATCCCCAACAAGCCTAGCCAGCACAGGGGCTTCCTTCTAGTAGGCAGACAATCAGCAAATATTTATTTAGCTGAATTGAATTAAAATGATGAACCTTTAACAAATATAGAAAATGTTATGGACTATTTGTTACATCTCCCTATTAGGTGGCTTTGATGAGCTGTTTTCAGGAAATTTACTTTGTTGGAAAGTGGTAAAACAGAGTTATTAAGTGCTTACTGTGTGCCCCGCACTCTGCTAATCAAGTACTAGAACTACAAGGCCAAACATGAAATAGTCCCTGCCTTTGAGGAGTATATATATCCTACTAAAAAAAATGAAAATGTATCCTTGAAAAAATGTTGGACAGCTAAAAAAGGATCCATGGCACAGGAATTCTTGATCTTTGTTGGTGTCACAGACCTCTTTTGGCATTCTTACCCCTGGTAGGCAGAAGCCTATGAATTCCTTCTCAGAATAATGTTTTTAAATGCATAAAATTTTAAAGTACATAGAATTACAAAAGAAACCAAGGCACAGGATTAGGCGTGTGTTATAGCTATTATAAACTATGGTTAAGGCAATTCAATAGACATTTATTAAAGCATCTACTTTATATATGACGTGTTATGTATAGTAGATACCATTGTTTGGTTATTTAGTTGTGTCTGACTCTTCCTGACTACCCCTCTCGCCGCCACCCCCACATGGACCAACTGTCTTTTCTTGGCAAAGATACTGGAGTGGTTTGCCATTTCCTTCTCCAGTCTTATGCAGGCAGGGGTTAGGTGACTTGCCCAGCTCATACAGCCAATGAGTGTCTGACGTCAGATTTGAACTCTGGTCTTTCTGACTCCTGTCCCAGGGCTCTATCCACTTCACCACCTAGCTGCCCTCACAGTGTCAGCAGGGATACAACGATGGTGCATATTGAGTGCATGAGTTCTGAGGAACATGGAACAGAAAGAGGGTTGTTGCGGTTGTTTTTAGGGATTCACAGATTCTTTGGGCATCCTGGATGCCACTGAATCCAACTCATGCATGCCCTCTTCAACATCCCCAGCAAGCAGTCACCTAATTTTTGCTTTGAAGACCTTCGGGGAAGGGCGATTCATCACTGCCTGACATAGCTAATTCTACTTCAGGACAGCTGTAACTGTAAGGGAGTCTTCCTTCTGTTTGATTACATTCACTTTTCTGCAACTTCTAATCACTTTTCTTACTTTTCTTCTCAGGGGCCCAAAACAATAAGCTTAATTCCTCTTCTGTTTAGCCTTCAGAGATGAAGACAGCTCTCATGCTGCTCCTAAATCTTTTCTTGATTAAATAGCTTCAACTCCTTCAATTGGTCCTTAGATGCTGTGGTCCTCTCACCATCCTGGTCACCTCTTCCTGGGGTCGTGATCTGCATTCTGGTTCACCTTCAGCACCAAATTTGTCTATCTGTCTGTCTGTCTGTCTATCTATCTATCTGTCTGTCTGTCTGTCTGTCTCTCTCTCTCTCTCTCTCTCTTTCAAATCAATAAGCATTTGTTATGCACCTATTATGTTCAAGGCTCTGTGCTGAGTTCTGAGAATACAAAGGCAAACAAGATAAATCAATAAAAACCCCAGGCCTTGCCCATAAGGAGCTTACAATCTAATGGGGGAGACGTTTACACCAAATTTATTATTAGTTTATTGTGTGACCTCTCAGAGTTGGATAAGTTACTAGAAGACGTCAAAAAATTTTTTTTCTGTTTTTAAGATAATTAATTTACTTTCAGTTTTCAACATTCACTTCCATAAGCTTTTGAGTTTTAAATTTTCTCCCCCTCTCTCCCCATCTCCCTCCCCAAGATGGCATACAACCTGATATAGACTCTACATCTACATTCCTATTAAACATATTCTCACATTATCATGTTGTAAAGAAGAATTAGAACCAATAGGAGAAACCACGAGAAAGCAGGAACAAAGCAAAGCAGAAGGAAAATAAGAGCAAATAGTGTGCTTGGATCTGCATTCAAATTCCATCGTTCTTTCTCTGGATGTGGATAGCATTTTCCATTATGAGACTTTTGGAGGTGTCTTAGATCCTTGCATTGCTGAGAAGGGCTAAGTCTATCAATGTTAGTCATCGCACAATGTGGCTATTACTGCGTACAATGTTCTCGTGGTTCAGCTCACTTCACTCAGCATCAGTCCATACAAGTCCTTCCAGATTTTTCTGAAGTCTGCCTGCTCATCATTCCTTATAGCACAATAGTATATACCATGACTTGTTCAGCTATTCCCCAACTGATGGGCATCTCCTCAATTTCCAATTCTTTGCCACCTAAAAGAGCTTCTATAAATATTTTTGTACATGTGGATCTTTTTCCCGTTTCTATGATCTCTTTGGGATACAGCTCTAGAAGTGCTATTGCTGGGTCAAAGGGTATGCACATTTTTATAGCCCTTTTAGCGTAGTTCCAAATTGCTTTCTAGTACTAGAAGACTTTGGAGGCCCCTTCTATGGTCAGTGATTCCCACTGACTGCAGGATTCAGCAAATAGATTATCTTTGCTTGGGCAGAAGGGCAAATAAGGTCGATGAATTATGGTGAAGGTAGTTGATAGAAGGCCTTGAGTTCATACTGAGGAATTTGGATTTATACAATAGGAAATAGGAAGCCACTGTCTTTGCTTGAGCAGAGGAGTAAGTGATATAATTAAATTAAAAACAATAAAGAAGATTATTCTTATAGTTTTGACTCAGCTCCAACTTGCATTTTTAAAAATCTAGCCATCAGGGACAGCTAACAGGTTCAGTGGATAGAGAACCTGAATTCAAATATGATCTCAGACCAGACACTTGACACTTACTAGCTGTGCTACTCTGGGCAAGTAACTTAACCCCAATTGCCTCGACAAAAAAAAAAAAATCTAGCCCTCTATCAGGCAGCTAGGTGGTACAGTGGTTAGATTGCCAGGCCTGGAGTCAGGAAGACTCATCTTTGTGAGTTTAAATCCAGCCTTAGACACTCACTAGCTGTGTGATCCTGAGCAAGTCACTTTACCCTGTTTGCCTCAGTTTCCTCACCTTTATAATGAGAAGGAAATGGCAAACCACTCCAGTATCTCTGCCAAGAAAACCCCAAATGGAGTCATGAAGAGTCTGAAAAAATGGAACAACAACCTTATCACGTGTTTTTTGAAGTCCCAGCTACATTAAAACATAGACACTGCAAAACCAAAACCCATTTCTTGAAAACAAAGCAAAACAACCACCTTATAAATAGAGGAAACATGTTAGGAGAGAAAGGGAAAAGAATAGACAGGGATGAGGGAAAAGGATAGACAGGGATGCAACTTCTAACTATGCCAGATAGTAAAAATTCATTAATGAGAGCTTCTTACAAGGTTGCTTTTTGTTTGAGATGAAGCATGAGGTCTTAGGTAGAATGCCAAACTTGTTGTTAAAGATCTGAATTCAAACTACACCTTGGAAATTTAATTAGCTGTAAATCTGTACCTCGGTGTCCTAATAGGGATACCTATAGCACCCGCATCACAGGGTGACTGTGAAGTTCAAATGGGGTAATGCATATAAAGTGCTCTGCAAACTTTAAGATGTTTAAGATGTCAGTTATTATTGTTATTTTCTTTTACCATCTGTCATTAAGAGCTATTTTTGCCACTTTCTCCTAAGCTGAAGAATCCCAATATATTTCAGAGAAACATTAATGAAATCCTCAACGATATCAAAGAACTGAAGAAAAAAATTCAGAAAAAGTTAATATGGGAAGAAGCTCCCACCAAAATGACAAACGGTGAGTGAATTTTGTTTCACAGGGTAGAAGTAGAGATTTTGAAGGGATGGAATAGCTGTGAAAATTGAGTAGAAATGGAAAAATGGTCCAAGGTACCATTTTTTAGGCTAATGAAACTCCCAGACATTATATGTATTACCAGGTTAGTGGAAGATGGGCCAGGGAAACACTAGCCAGAATATTTTTTTGACCATTCCTGGGGGTATGATGGGTCATTGTTACTTTTTAGCTCTATACTTCTAATTTATACCCATCCCCTATGTGTAATGGATAGAGTCAGTCTCAAAACCAGAAAGATCTGGGGTCAAGTACTGAATCTGACACTTAATGACTGTGTGACCCTGGGCAGGTTGTTTAAACTGTCACTGTTCCAGGTAACTTTCTAAGATTACAAATTGCTGAGAAAAGTGCTGAGCTGCAATTGTAGGGGGAGAGTCTACACCTGAATGTTCTCTATATCAATGAAATCATAGATCCAGCCCTGTTCTTGTCCCATATGACTCTTTGAGGCTAGTCTGAGTTCTACCTGATTTGTCCTTGGTGGCTTAAGACTCGACAATATTGATTTTCGGAAATTAAGCATTTTGAGGCGACTGAAAATTAACCCCTTTTGTTAACTATCCAAATTCTACTAGATTTTAAGCTTCTTAAGGGTAGAGACTATTTCTTATCTAAACTTTATATCTCCTTGTAAAGGTTAACTCTTTGCTTTACAAAAGATTCTTTGAAACGGTTACTACAATTAAAGTAATTTTATTTATAGATAACTTTTGCTGGTCTCACTGTGTAGCAAAGTTGACTGAGTAATTACTTTTTTTTAATTAATTTATTTTTAGTTTTTAACATTAATTTTCATAAGCTTTCGAGTTTTAAATTTCCCCCTCTCTGACCATCTTCCTCCCCAAGAAGGCATGCAATCTGATATAGATTCTACATATACATTCCTATTAAACATATTTTCACATTAGTCATGTTGTAAAGAAGAATTAGAATTAGAACCAAGAAGAAACAAAACAAAATAGAAGGAAAAAAAAGAGCAAATAGTAAGCTTTGAGCTGCATTCAGACTCCATAGTTCTTTCTCTGGATGTGGATAGCATTTTCCATCATGAGACTTTTGGAGATGTCTTAGATCCCGGCATTGCTGAGAAGAGCTAAGTCTATCAAAGTTAGTCATCTCACAGTATGGCTGTTACTGGGGCACTTATACTCTTTTGCTTTCCCTCTCAACAGGAAAAAAAGGGGGTTGGATTCTCCCAGACCCATCCTTTCTTTTCCCACCATTCAATTGAGGAGTATAACCTTTCCTTTGACCATCCTCTCCTCTCCTCTTTGCCCTACCTCTTTTTCACTTGGAGGGTGGCCTTTGTCTGATACCTCTGTTGGTTACTAGATAAAGTAATTGTCTTGTTTTAGCCTAGGGATAAAATGATTGGAGGTCTATGAAGATCTGACAGGTTAGGGAATATTTCTATATGATAAAAAATAACTAAAAAAGTCATAACAGCATACAGCCCCTAGTCAGAAGAAATAATATTAGGAGAGAGGTTTATATCTTTGTCTTTATTTACATTCAGTGTATTTTTCAGCTAGCCATTTGTTTCTACCATTTCTCTTTTCCCAGAATAAGTTAATATATGCAGACATGCAATACACATTGGTTAGATTTGATCATGGGTTTTTATATAAAGGGAAAGTGCTTTCATAGACACAAATTAAATAAAAAGTTATAAGTAAAATAACAGAAACAGGGGTAAAATCCCCACTCTACTTGAAGTCTGAGAGAAAAAAAATCAGGAAGGAAAAAGAATTGATATACATCACATTCTAACTGTTTCTCAGGTTAAAACAAGTCAGACAAACTTCTCAGGAAGGTTTCTCCAACAGTTCTAATGGTGAGCTAGGGTAGCACCCGCCCCACCCTTCTTAATCTCTAGTGCAAATGTCCTCCATTATGCTTCTGTCAGTTCTGCTCTGCAATCTCTCATACTTCTGTTGCAGACTCTAGGGGCTGCCTGCATACCTGAGTGCTGTCTAATCTCTGCTCCATCTGCTTTATGCAGAAAAAGGAATACTTATTCCTCTTTTCAAAACTCCTGAGTTGGATCGAAGTCTGTCTCCAAGATCGAAGGCTGCTAATATAATGCCTTTTCTCAGGGATAGTAGGAAATGCTTGTCTCTCTGGGAACTAGGATATCATTCAGGTCTCTAACTCCTGTCATACATAGATCTCTCTCATCATCATTTCTTTCTTTCTTTCTTTTTTTTTTTTTTAGGTGAGGCAATGGGGTTAAGTGACTTGCCTAGGGTCACACAGCTAGTAAGCATCATGTGTCTGAGGCCTGATTTGAACTCAGGTCCTCCTGACTCCAGAGCCAGTACTCTATCCACTGCACCACCTAGTTGCTCCAATCTCTCTTTCTCTATTAAAAAATGTGCGGCTATATATCCCTAGCCTTTGAGAAAAGCATCATGGAGGGCTGATATGTTGTGATGATAAATGATTTTAGCCAAAAACAACCTTGAACTCAGCCCAGGGCAAGCTAAATCTCCAAACTGATAGCCTGGGGAGCAGAGTCAGTAACTGCCTCTTCCAATGCCTCCTTAGTCAGGTTTTACTACTGCCATTCAAGGGTAGAAAGGGAGGGAGGTGTAGATGTCTTCGTTTAAGACCATACCCTGATACACTTTTCCTTCTCTTTTCTTTAACCTGGTCACCATTATTAGGCACACACAGTGTGTGTAATGGTTATGTAGCTAACTTGTGTTCCACCAGGGAAGGCTTTGGAAGTAAAGTGTGTATATATAGAAAAGGTAGATTTTATATTGGCTCAATTAGGTCAGCGAAAGTTGAAAATTTTAAAATAGTTTTTTTTTAAAAATAACTCTTTCTTGTTCTTTTTTGCTAGCCAATTCAACAATTCAGGTTGAGCCACGATGATAGAATGTTTGCCACATACAAGGCACTGTGCATGCTAAAATGAAAAAGGATAGTCTTTTCCATCAAGGAGTTGGTAATCTAATAGAGATAAGTATTTGGGGAGAATATAGATGAAAAAAATGATATAATGTGATAAATGCAAATGAGAGATTCAGAGAAAGTACCCTAAGGAAATTTGAGGTGGGAAACCATTCAGCTAGTGGGGATCAATGGAAGAGTTACAGCTGAACTGGGTCTTGAAGAAGAGAAGGGTTTCAAAAAGCAGACGTATGAAGGGAGTGCTCCCAGATTTTGTGGATGGCTCATGCTAACAAATGGAGGCTAGAGAGGCCAGACAAGCTTTGTGAATAGACAGTGGTCCAATTTGACTAGAATGAGTATGTGAAGGGGAACCATGTAAAATCAGGCTAGAAAAGAGGGTTGTAGCCTGGTTGTAGACTGTCAAGTATCAGGCAAAGGAGGTTGTATTTTATCTGACATTTGAGCAGAAGATGATGTGGTCATGGTTTGTGCATTAGGAAGATTCAGGCAGCTAGGAAAAAGAGAGATTGAAGAGGAGAGAAAATAGACTCAGGGAGGCCAATTAAGAGGCTATTATATTGTTTTCATAGATCTGTAGACATGCTCTAATCTTGTAGTAGGAAGCAAGTTCTTTGAGGGAAGAGACTGGTTTTTTGTTTTGTGTTTGTATCCTGAATACCTAGCATATTACCTTGCATGTAGAAGGAACATAAAAAATTCTTGTGGAGTTACATTACACTGAATTATCAGATCCACCCTGGCACAAATATATATATACACACACATATATATAATCTGCATTTTAAATTAAAATATAAAATACTTGCATATTTCCTTTATTAGATTGTGAGCTTCTTGAAGCAGGGGCTATATTTGGATTTCTTTGGAGCCTCAGTACTAGTGCCATTTTTTCTTTTTGGTGAGGCAATGGGGTAAAGTGACTTGCCCAAGGTCACACAGCTAGTGTCAAATGTCTGAGGCCAGATTTGAATTCAGGTCTTCCTGAATTCAGGGTGGGTGCTCTATCCACTGCATCATCTAGCTGCCCCTACAAGTGCCATTTTGTCTAGGGAAGAAGTCTTCTTTCCTTCCATAAAGATTTTAAAATAATCTAGATCATTCCATTTTGATACGTAAACTTCTAGCTTAGAGATCCCTTCTCAACCCATCAATTTGGAGGGACAAGGTCTTTGGGCGGGACAATGCTGCTTTAAAAGAAGAAAAAAATGTCCCTTTTGGCTACTGTACGAAGCTGAATCCAGGCCTGAATGGACTCTTGGTATGACCAGAGAGAATCCAAATTTTCAATTTTCCAGGCTATTATATAGAATATCCATACTTATTCCAACATGATGTACAGTGCTATGAAGACTATTCATATGCCTTTGTCTGAAAGAGTTTCCTCAAATTTATCTTCCCTTAGAGGCATCCCCGGTGGTTTCTCCTTGCTCTGCTAGTCTACAGCCTGCTCAGAGACAACCCGTGCCCAAAAGATCTTGCCAGTTTGCTCAGTGTGAGTATTCAAGTGACGTGGATTGTGGGCTTTGAGTTCTATAGAGACAAATAGCACTTGGAACTTGTCATTTTATCACCATGTTCTGGCTTCCCACTTGCACCCCTTCAGCATCTCACTACCTTCCCTCCTCATGTCATATTCCCTGAATTTGGGTGTAGTGTCTTAAGAAATTGGGAGTTCCCTCATTATCTAAATGAAAGAGAAGGCATACCTCTGTATTTCAGACCCAGCTACAGCCTGTTTGCATCTGCTGCCAGAGGAAAGTCAACTCTTGATTACCAACCTTGGATGGAGAAGAAAGCCAATGATGGCGGTGGGGATGGTGACCTGTTTCAGAAGCATTTCTATCTGAACTCCATCCAATAAGAGAAGAGAACAGGGAAAGGGAAGAGAATAAGCATTGTTAAGAGCCTGCTATGTGGCAGGCACCATGATAGGCACTTTACAAATATTATCTCATTTGATCCTCATGATAACCCAGGAATTATGCCATTATATTACCCATTTCATAGTTCAGGAATTTGAGGCAGATAGAATCATACAGCTAGTCAGTGTCTGAGGCTAAATTCAAACATCGGTCTTTCTGATTCTAGACTCACCTTGCTGCCTCATGAAAGATAATTTATCTATAGTAATAGTAATATAGTAATAAAGTCATAATAATAAGTCAAAGTACATATCACTTTAACATTATAAAGGACTGCATAAGTTATCTAATTTGAGTCTTAGAACAATGCTGCTGGAGTTAGAGAGCAAAGATATTATTACTTCCATTTTAAGCTCTAAACTAGAGCTTAGAAAGATCAAGGGATTTGCCAGTGGTCATACACTCAGACCAGGCTAGACTCCAACCCTGTTCCTTCTGACTCCAAGTCTAGCACTGTACCCTACTATCTCATGATCGTCATTCACAGTGGACTTCCTCTTGCCACCTAGCATGCTCATGGACCACTGATTCCTTCCATCATTTGACCTTTGCCCAGAGATTGCTAATTCACTTTAATTTGAGCCTAAGCCTGAGCAGCAATTTGGAGACAGAAGATGTGAACTTGAATTCCATGTTTGACACTTACTTCCTTTGAGACCCCACTTAGGGCTGTAGCTCACTTTCTAATGTTATGAGTCCAAAGAAGGTGCTGGACTGGCCAGCACTAATAGAGGGCATTCCTTTGCCCTGAGAGTCTCTTATGCCAGCCAGGGGGCACCACAGTTCACAGAGCCCTGGGCTTGGAGTCAGATAGACCTGTTCAAATCTAGCTTCAGACACTCACTAGCTGTGTTACCCATGGCAAATAATTTAACCTCTGTCTGCTTCAGTTTCCTATTGATAAAAATTTATATATATTTCAATTTAATTTCATTTAAATATATATATAAATACACACACATATACATATACATATATATGTATATATATATATATATACATATATATATGTATATATATATATATATATATATATATATATATATATATACATATTTATAAAATGGGACATTTCCTGGACCTCACAGAGTTATTGTGAAGATCAAATGAGATAATCTTTGTAAAGTGCTTAGCACAGTGCCTAACACATAGTAGGTGCAAAAATAAATGTTTGTTTCCTCCCTTCTGTCCAGTGAAACCATTATTATTTTTATTATTTATTTATTATCTTATTTTTTATTTATCATCATTTTATTAAAATTATTTTTATTTACCTATGTGTGAACATGTTCTCTCTCCTGTTAGAATGCAAGCTCCTTGGCAAGGACTTTGTGTCCCAAGCACACAGCATAGTATACTTGGTGACTCATTAGGTACTTAATAAATATTTGTGAGTTAATTGATTAGCACAGATAATCAAGAGTTGTCTCTCTTTTTAATCTCTTCTTCAGGGTCCATCCTTCCAACCTTTGACCAAAGAACTGCCTCTCATTATCTGAAGGTGTCAAAGAACCGTCAAAAAGTGACTGTGTCACAGCATCGACAATTCTACCCTGAGAGTCGAGAGAGGTTCCAGAACAGCCAGATCTTGTGCTGTGAAGGCTTCTCCTCGGGGCAGCTGTACTGGGAGGTGAACACTCAGGACTGCACTGCCTGGGCCATTGGGGTGGCCTCCAAGGACATCATCGCCCACAGGGACCTGCTGGGCAGGACTGCGGACTCGTGGTGTGTGGAATGGAGCGAGGCCTCTGCACAGCTGTGTTCCTGGCACCAGAAAAAGGAAACAGCCGTCAGCAAGGAGAGGCCCACGGTGGTGGGTGTTTGGCTTGACCTAGAGGGGAACCAGCTCTCATTTCATTCAGTTGAGAGTGAGGAGAAACTCTTATATCGATTTGAGCTTCCTGTCCCCATGCCTGTTGTGTTCCCTGCTTTTTGGCTTTATGGCCTACAGCCTGGGAACTCCCTGATTATAAACGAATTATAAACAAGGTAAGAGATGAAGTGCTCTCCTATTGCTGAAACCAGTGACCAAGCTCATAAGGGTCTTCTTGTCAACCAATCAGCCAGTCAGTCAACAAAGATTTATTAAATGCTTACCATGTGCCCTGGCACATTATGCGAAGTGCTGGGGGTTATAGGTCCAGTGGCCAAGTAACTTCTAAATCAATGATTGTGTTAATACCCTCTGGGCCTGCAGTGTGGATGGGGGAAAAGCCACCCTAGCTCCAAAGTACTTTGTACTCTCTCTTTCCTTCTCCTTCCCTTTCAGGGTATATTTTGAGAAGGTTGGATTTAGAGTCAGATTTATATCCTGGCATTGCTTAAAACCTATGTGACTGGGGACCAATGATTTTTTTGTCTTTGGGCTTCAGTTTCTTGATCTATGAAGTGGTTGAAGAGACAATAGATATTTGGTCACAGGATATAAACAATTTGTTTGAACATTCTTTTTTATTTTTTAAATAATATTTTATTTTTTCCAATTGCATGTAAAGACATTTTTAAACCTTCATTTTTTATAAGATTTTGAGTTCCAGATTTTCTCCTTCTCTCTCTCCCCTTCCCCTTCCTAAGACAGTAAGCAATTTGATATAGGTTATATATATGTAATCACATAAAATATATTTCCATATTAGTCATAGTGTAAAAGAAAAAAACATTGTAAAAATTACGGTTTGCAAAAGGAAAAAACCACAAAAAAATAAAATGAAAATAATATGCTTCGATCTGCATTCAGATTACATCAGTTCTTCTTCTAGATGTGAACAGGATTTTCTATCGTGAGTCTTTTGGGATTGTCTTGGATCATTGTAATTCTGAGAGGAGCTAAGTCATTCACAGTTGATCTCCAAAGGTGATCATCTTATTTGTTGATCATCAATGTTACTGTTATTGTGTACAATGTTCTCCTGGTTCTGCTCACTTCACTTAGCATCAGTTCATGTAAGTCTTTCCAGAAAACATTCTTTTTTATTGACCCCAGTTTCCTCATCTGTGAAGTGAGGGGATTAAACAGCTAACAGATACATGGTCAAAGGATAAGAAGTATAATGTCTGATGCTGAGACCACATCTGACAATGGACACAATATTTTGTCCTAAGTAGCCCTATACTACTCTGCCAGGAGGCACCTTTTATTAATTAGGGGGGGGTATATTCAGAAATGAAGGTGAGGTAAAAATTGCCATCCTTTAGTTTCTCATTACCCCATGGACCATAGCATGCCAATCCCTTGTCTCTTCCACTGTCTCTCCAAGTCTGTCCAAGTTCATGTTCGTTGTTTTCATGATACCATCTATCCAACTCATCTTTTTCCATCCTCTTTTCTTTTTGCCTTCAATCTTTCCCAACATCAGGGTGTCTTCCACTGAGCCCCGTCTTCCCATTACATGACCAAAGTATTTAAGCTTCAGCTTCAATATTTGACCTTCCATTGAATAGCCTGAATTAATTTAAGCATTAACTGATTTGACCTCCATGATATCCAAGGAATTCTCAAAAGTCTTTTCCAGCACTACAATTTGAAGGCATTGATTTTGTGTTGCTCCACTTTCCTTATAGTCCCAATTCTCACAGCCATACCTTGCTACTAGAAGAACCATAGCTTTGACCATGCAGACCTTTGTCAGCAAGGTGACATCTCAGCTTCTTAGTATGTTGTCCAGAGTTGCCATAGCTTTCCTTCCACGGAGCAAGCATCTTTTAATTTCATGGCTGCAGTTGCCTTCTGCAGTGATCTTTGAGCTCAAGAATATAAAATCTGACACTGCTTTCATTTCTTCTCTATGCGCCAGGAAGTGATGGGACCAGTTGCCAGCATCTTAGCTTTTTTATGTTAACTTTTTTTCTTTTTGGTGAGGCAGTCGGGGTTAAGCCACTTGCCCAAGGTCACACAGCTAGTGAGTGTAATGTGTCTGAGGCCACATTTGAACTCAGGTCCTCCTGACTTCAAGGCTGGAGTTCTATCCACTGTGCCACCTAGCTGCCCTTTTTATGTTAATTTTGAAGCTAGCTTTTATACTTTCCTCTTTCACCCTCATCAACAGGGTTCTTAATTCCTCTTCATTTTCTGTCATCAAAGTGGTATTGCCTGCATCTAAGGTTGTTGATATTTCTCCTGGCAACCTAAATTCTGGCTTTTGATTCATCCAGCCTGGCATTTTGCAGGATGTACTCTGCATGTAAGTTAAATAAATAAGGTAACAATACATAGCCTGAAAGTTCTCCTTTTCCAACCTTAAACCAATCAGGTGTTCCACATTTGGTTCTCACTATTGCTTCTTAGCTCCCACACAGCTTCCTCAGGAGACAAGTAAGATGATCTGGCACTCCCATCTCTTGGAGGACTTGCCACATTTCATTGTGATCCACAGTCAAATGCTTAGGTAAAAAGGCTTTAGATAAAAAGAAAAGAAATCAATATAATTTATGCCAAGCAAAGAAAGCAGAACTAGGAACTCATTATACACAATGACTATAATAATGTGTATGAAAATTACACTAAAGGCAATTGAATTCAGATGACTAATTGTGGTCCTGAAGGACAGAGAATGTATGTTTACCTTCTCTCAATAGAGATGTGGAGATGAGCCAGGTAGGTGTCTCAGAGGATAGAGCACTGGCTCTGAAGTCAGGCGGACCTGAGTTCAAATCTGAGCTCAGACCAAACACTTGACACTTGTTAACTGTGTGATCCTGGGCAAGTCACTTAACCCCAAATGCCTTAAAAAAACTAGAGATGTGGAAGACTAAAAGAAAAATAGAGATGTGCGTGGTCACTGTCACTTATTTTTGCTTAACTGTTTTCCTTTGTTTCAAGAGTAGTTTCTTTGTGCAGATATATTGGGAAACAATTATAATATTTTAAGAAGATACAAAAAACTTTTCAAATATGATGATGACTGTTATTTATATAGTCTTTTCAAATATATTATCTCATTTGAGTCACAACAGTCCTGTAAGGTATTGGTGGGATTCAGAACTGTACCCCAGACATTTTTGTGCCAAAGACAAACAGCACAAACCATGCCCTCATTTCAACTGGAGAAGTGTGGTGGAGACCTGGGAGACATCACAGGTGTGCTTTGAGAGAGGTTCCCTCGGTGGAGGTGGGATGTGCTGGAATGAGAGTTGATAGGTGAGTTTTCAGTACGAGCATTTACACCAAAGACTATATGTCAAGGTTTGATCTATTGCTTTATTGATTTTCTTTGCTTAAGAAAGTGATGGATAAACTGTTTATAATGCAGATTAACCTTAAAAGCATATGGAACGTCAATATAAATAAATATACATGCATATATTTGTGTGTATTTATAGATATACACATATACATATATTTATAAACACACACATATACATACACATGCATATCTATCTGTATCTATATAGTTTAACATTTACCAGCACATCCCTGGAAGGTGGCCAGACAGCTATAGAGAGGAGTTTTCTTAGGCTACGTCCAAGAAGGTAGGGAGCCGCTGCCAATTGGTAGCTTCATTTTTAATTAATTAGGTCCATGTTTGTCATTCTTGGTTCTCATATGTCATATTTTCCGAAGTAGGATCTAAGTTTAGCTGGTCCTGTAGTGCTAAAGGATGGATAGTGTTGTGAGTTCTTCCTCACAATTTCAGGACCCGGGGGCAAAGCATTAGTTGTTCTGCTTTAGCTTTAGCCCTGGCCAAATTTGAGCACAGGTCTTTCTGATTCCAAGCTAGCATTGTATTGATTATTCCATACTGCCTTTTTATTTTTTTATAGAGAACCCAAAAAACGAGGGAATGAAAACCGCAGCTAAAAGCTGGTATGATGCTGGATTTCAGTCTCATTTTTAAAAAATTTTCTCTTTTTTTTTTTACCCCAAAGAGGTCTCTGCCAATGCTTTACTTTCTACCTGCTAACACGCACGCTCGCTTGCACACACACACACACACACACACACACTGAAGTTACAGTTATGATTGGCAAGGCATCATACCCCTGTTATTGCAGAATTTGATGGGTTCCTGGGAGGGACTGTAATAGGAATGCAGAAATAATCATTTGGAAAGGAATAGCAATAATTCTAACAGCCTGAATCTGACTCGTGGTTTTTCTCATCTCAGTTACACTACCACAGGTTCTGCAAAAGGTCCAAGTGTGAGTGTTTTCAAAAGCCATGTTTCTCAGAAAACGCCTCCAGCATGTTGGGTAGACTCCCTGTGGAGGATTTATGGGAGTTGTTATGTTTAAAAATTAAGGCAAACTGAGAGACGATGGCATGAGCGTGATCAATTTATTAGTTAGGCTAATAGTAACCAATAAATTGGGGCAGTGGACTCTCTCAGTGACCAAAGACCCTGAGCAGGACTGATTGGGTCTTTTCACTCCGCCATCTTGGCTCCGTCTCCCACTGACTGGGTCTTTTCAACCTGGATGTTCTCCCTTATGATTGGCCTGACAGGACATCATTTGGACCTCCCTGGCAAAGGTAAGACAATCCCAATTGGTAGACATTTTAACAAGGAGGTGGGTTGAGTGGCCTCAGGTCCTTCCTATTACTTTCTTGGGGAGATGGGAGTAATCCTCAGGTGACAGCATTAGTGGGTGTAGTATGCAACAGTTTTGACTGATGCAACTTGAATTTGAGTTAAGTGAGTGGTGAGTACAGCTAATGGATAGAGCCCAGGGCCTGGAGTCGGGAAGATTCAACTTCCTGAGTTCAAATGTGGCATTAGCTGTGTGACTTAGCAAGTCACTGAAAAAAAAAAATCTCTGTCTCAGTTTCCTCAACTGTAAGATGGGGACTCTGGAGAAGGAAATGGCAAACTATTCCAGGATCTTTGCCAAGAAAACTCCATAGGGGTCAAGAAGGGTCTGACTGGATGGAAGGACTTAACCAAGGTATAGAGTTGCTGTCTGTCCTTCATTCTCAACGAGGACCCTAACATCAGGGAGGTGATGCCATGACATGCAAGTGAATTGGAATTTAGTGAGGCAGGGCTGTGCAAAGTCACCAGCCTCACTTTCTCCCCTGGAGCCATCGGGGTCCAGTGGCCAGATATAGATCAGGATGACTGGAGATGGCTCAGGATGAGGTAGAGGGTAAGGTTACAAAAGTAGACCATCCAAGTGTAGAGGTTCACTTGAGTGGAGGTAACTACGAGACAAAAGCTTGGCCTTTAGGTAAGTTTCTCAAGAATGTAGGTGAAGGGTGAAGTTACTAAGGTAGGGAGGTTGGATTTACAAGGCAATGGGAGAGTGTTAAAACCTATCCCTGCCAATGCTTTACTTGACTGTGGTTTTTTTTGTTTGTTTGTTTTTTTGATTGTGTTTTAAACATAGAATTAAAATAATTTTTCAGCTTTACAGAGGAGATGGACAAGAATGGCACAGGATGAAAAAAGATGTAGATGGGTGTTATCTGCGCCAGTGTCTGTCTGAAACAGAGTCCTCTGTTTGCCATTTAAAGCCATTCACAACCTGGTGCTTTCCTACCTTTTCAGTCTTCTTACCCCTTTCCCCTC